AAGTTTTTTTTTAACAATTTCTGATGATATTATAGATTAAACCTTCTTGTATAGTATCATTTTGCAAATTATCATAAACATTAATTTAATTTTTAATAAAAAGATATTTATAATGACATTTAAATAAATGATAATTTTAGTATCACAAAGTTAAAAAACTGTAATAGTATTAAGTAGAAGAAATTTAACTTACATATTATTTAACTTTACTTGAGTTTTATTAAGAATAATATGAACAGAAATATTGTTAATTAAAGAATAATTTTCAGACCTTTTATTCATTTTATTATTGAGTATAAAAAGAACTTTATTAAAATACCAATTTATATCTAAAATTTTTTATTTTAAAAATAATAAATAAAAAAATTTTTATAATTTCGATTTGCATTATATAAGGTATTTTATATTGATAAATAAAGAAAGGTTTATTGTTTTAATAATATTATTTTTTAATAATTTAGTAGGAAGAGCACTTGCTAATTTGTCTTGCTTTTTAAATTGTTAAAGTTCTTGTTTTTTTTTTTAAATCTAATAAACCAACTATCAGACTAGTTAAAATCATTAATATAAAGATTATCAGCAAAAATTTTGCTTTTATTTTAAATTGATATTTTAATTTGATATAAGTACATTATCAATCTAAAGGCTAAGAGTACTTTCAAATTTTGATCATTTAGAATTACTAACTATTAATTTTTTAATATCATATTTATTAGAAAATTTTTTATTACTAATATTTGAATTTTTTTTTTATTTTACAAATTTTTCTTTTAAATATAGCTAAAATATTAATAAGTTTTTTTTTTTTAATATAAAATCAAGTTATTTAAAAATAAATATATGATAATTTTTAATAAAAAAATTATAATAATTAAACTTTTTTTAGTAATTAATTTAATAATATAATAATAACAATTATCAATAATCTGAAAATAAATTTAATGATATAATAATAATTATTAATGATTTAATATATAAAATTTAATTTAATAATAGTAAGCTAGTTGAGTGTAATATATAGAGATTTATTAAGATAATTTGATATAATCAAAGCTGATAATTACAGTCTTAATACATTAGATTCATTATAGCCAAATTTTGGTATAAATAGATTCATTATAAATAAAGTTTATTATACTATTTTATTAATAAAATATAATAAATAAATTTATCAAACAGATTAAATTTTTGTTAAACTTAAGTATATATAAAAATAATAATAGCATTTATTTGCCATTTTATTTTTTAAAACAATGGATTATTTTTAAAATACAAACTGTGATTGTATTAATTAACTAATAAAAATTCAAACATATGATTAACTGAAATTAGAACTATAGTTATAACTGCAGTTTTAAATTTAAATAATAAACTAGAAGCCAGTTCAATTCAAGGATTAAACTGACAGTTTTTGAACCAAACTAAACTGAGTTGAACTGATAATATCTCTAATTATTAGTATCATATTTGAAAGAATCTTAGTTATTTTCAATACAATAAGTATAGTAAAAGAATTAGATATAGGTATTAAATAAGACATTTAGGTAGATGTATAATTGAAAAAAAGAATTAGATAGCTTTTTATAATATAAATTAAAAAATTTTTTTATTATTTAATTTATTTTATTTTTCAAATAATATATATATATATAAAGATATATACAATAATAAATTAGGCAAATGTTATTATTTTTTATTTTTAATAATAAAATTGATCTTATAACAATTAACAGTATTTTACAATTCGTTATGTGATTTAAAATTGCTTTTTTTTCAAATCTGAATGAATTTTCAAACATTCCAAGACACAAATTTATTATAAACCTGGCAACTCTGACTGAAATTTTCTTTCAGTTTGCCCATTCTTTGATTTATACCAACCTTGTTCATAACAAATTTTGTATCGAGCTGCGCCATGAACGATAAGTTAAGAGTTAAGATGTAAACATGACTAAAAAGTGGTATTAAGCTCAAATATCATTTAATAGCTTATAGATACGCTTACGCTCTAATGATGTAGCTTATTATGTAATCATATAGCAAAGAAAGCTTTGTGATGATAATTTCAATAAAATTATTAATATGACTTTAATTTTTCCATATATTTAGGTCATTACCATTTGCCTCATTTTTTTTCCTCAAACGATACGCATATCCCTCATACAAATAAAGATTATAGGCTCAATTCCTAAATAAATGACTACCAAAATTGGTAACATCTGTTACCTAGCAATACTTAATTTTAAATTTTTTAGTTTTTAAAATTTTTAAAATTTTTTAAAATCATATATGAACAAACAATTATTTAAATGGAATTGATATTAAAGCATTGGGGGATTTCTCCAACATTTCAACCTTTAATAAACCCTTCATTACAGACAACCACCTATGGATGCACAATGTAAAATATAATCGCCACGAACATACTGTACCTAACAGGAAAAGTATTTATCGTATGAGCATCTTGAACTAAATTACCTTCACGATATTTGCATTTGCTTTCCAATCTTTGTTGCTTAATGGCATCACGCGGTTTGTTATTCTAAACTACCGGAAGTAACGATAGATTTTAAGAAAATCTCTACTATTTCTAATTAGGAAAACACCAGCATTAATCATACCAACAGGTCTGGCTATAATAATCTTATTAATTTTTTCAAAAGCTTCCTTCCCACAAATTCTTTTTCATACATTTCCAATAAATTTTCAACGGAAAGAGATTATTAACTAATGTAGCATCCATATAAGCCACAATAACCATTCATAATAGGTTAAAGCTTTTTTTATGACATCAACTTTACCCAAACTGATCTTCTCCTTCGATAGATTTGTTGAACAAATTCAGCTGAACGAGCTATGAACGCGTATCCGTATATTTCGGCATATTAACATTTATTGTTTTCAGAAAGAGGAGCAACTTTCAACATACAATTATTTTTAATAGGAAACTGCATGTTATCACAACTATATTTGTCTGTCGTCTCTGTTGAGCAATTACAAGTCGAATATTTGGTTTACATTTTAAACATCTTTAATCTCCAAATCTTGATAAATATACCGATCGCAATAGCACAATCAATGTTTTTAATTGAAATTAGGCCATTCTACTATACTTACTGATCATTAATAAAAAAATCAAATCATCCGGAATTTTTTTGTTTGATGTTTTCAATGATAAAGATGAATCCATACTATTTTTCGTGTGTCCATTGTTATTGCCGAGGATGAACTTTTGTTTTGAATTTTATCATAGTAAAGATATCGATTATTACCAAATGATCAAACGTTGTACATTCCTATTATAATGAAAATAAAGGAAAGATTTTAATATATTTTTCGTTATTGAAAGAATCACGTGAAAAGTTTTCATGTTTTATTTCTCTATTATTGTCCAATTTAAACATTACAATTTAGGCGCTCTGTAGTGCTAAATAATTTTATTATTATTATTATAATTTCCTTTCTACTGCAAAACGCTTTAAATTTCGTGTATAACGAAGCCCTCGCTTTTTTTTTGTACGCGCGGGTGTAATCATTTTGACAATTTATAAGAGAATATTTTTAATGTTTTATCCAGATGATTCCGTTTAACACTACAAAACCTAGTTCTGAAATAACAGAAAAAACCAATCCAACGAATCAAATGCTTTAATTCTTTAAAACATTTTTCAATTGAAACGAATTTATGACAAGTTGAGCGATTTTATCTTTGGTGACTCATATTTATTTATTCAATATTGGTACATGAAATATTGATCATGCTCATAGTTACTTATATGAAAACAAGATTTTTCAACAACCCTTCTGGATCTTCTAAACAGTTCGAAACTTACTTATTTTTTTTCATGTAAATTATTCATAACAACTAGGCTAACAGGAACTGTTGTGTGTCCGGAGCTAAGGAACTTTAAAATATAATTCTAATTGACAAAATCACGTGCCCCAAGGACGGACATATCGGGCATCTTTAAAATGTACCCGGGTTCAACTGTACTTATCACGTGATAAGTACTTAAAAAAATTTATTTATACATGTAGTCTAATTCGTCAAATGATTAATATTTTTTCCAAATGTACTAACAAACCTATCAAACTTTTTTCAGGTAGAAATGATAACACTCGTTTGCTACAACGAAAGAAATTTTCTTATACAAAAAAAGAGGGAAGAGAGTGACTTGCCAAGCTGAAGTGGTTTAATGATGAATTAACCAAATCAAAACGTGAACAAAATAATTTGGGCCTAATATATTTTAAAGAGGGGCAAAGGCATTTGGAAGATTGTAAGCATCCTTGGAAGCACTTTGGAAGGGTTGGAAGCATAATTCTCTAATAAATTCATTGGATTGGAAGCTTCCAATCAAATTTTCTACTATTGGAAGCATAAAATGCACATCACTGGGCAAAGGGAAAAAGGTCGGTGAAATGTCTGATTGGCCAAACATCTTCACGTTGAATGTCATTTTCAACCATAAACATAAATAGTAAACATTTCCTTAATTCGAAGAAACGCCAATTTTTTTCAATAAGGACAATCGCAAACTGGAACCTGTATGGGTCTGTAAAAGGGAAGAACATTCCTTTATCGATATTAGCATTGAAATTCGTATGTTATGGCGGCTGAAAATTCGCAATCTTGAGATCTACATGAGTTAACTAACTTCAGTTAGATGAAAAAAAGCGAAGATTTATTGAAAAAATATTCTTGATGACGTGATAATTCGTTTTTTAGCTCTCGTCTTCGATTTCTCTTCATGAGATTATCTTTAGTTTATTTATAGTGTTAGTTTTATTTTTTTTTTAATTAAATAACATGAAATTGTGCTACAAATTTTTAAAATTAATGTTATATAGTGATTAATCGATTTTCTTTCAATTTACCTATTTCTTTAAGTCTTTGAAATTTTTGCTTAGTTCTTGAAATATCCTTTCGATAAGTTTATCAATATAGCATTCTTTATCGAGTTTTTCTGATTCAATTCACTTAATAGAAACTCATCAAAATGGAGCTTCCAGATTTTATGACTGACATGAATGCCGTCCTTAAGGACAAAGTGGAATGGCTTCAATGTACAATTCCAGATTATAGTAAAGCTAATAACCTGTTTCTTAAAGGTAAGTGCCGAAGAAAAACATTGAATATTATCATATGTTATTTATCCCGTCCTTTACCTAGAACGTACGAAGATTCACGAATCCGGCTCCCTCGAAGATCTCGTCACAAACCTCGTCAAAAATTGGGAAAAGGAGGCATCTCACAAGCCCAAGGCTACTGATTGGCGTACAATTGACCACAAAGTTTACAGGTAAGAACATTTACATTGTCCTATTTGCTATTTTGCTTCTAATTTTTTATTAAACATATACAATAGATTCTCCACAAACGGCGGAGCATGGTCCACAGCAGAAGACATGATCAAAATCGGCACTTATAATGCTCTCATCGGTGAATCAGAATATTATGCAGCAAGTAGAATCATGAATTCTGTGGACTCTCATAAAGTTTTTCGTGGTTGCCTTCGTTCAGGATTCGCTTGGGAATGTTTAGAAGTTTATTCTGGTCCTCCACGCGTTTCTTTTAAATGGCGTCACGTATGTTCATTTTGCTTTTATTTTATTTCATTTTATTTATTTAATTTTGAAATTACTATCGCTATTAATCTCTACTCTAGTGGGGTACGATGAGCGGCAAACTACGATGTCCTATGCGCAATGGTTCAGATCTCATAGCTGAACCAACAAACGAAAGAGTGGAACTTTTTGGGGTTACAATTGCTACTATTAATGAGAAATTTCAGATTTTGCAATTAGAAACGTTTTTTAATCCGGATGATTTGTTTTCGCAAATGGTTAAAAATGGTTCTGTTGCTGAAGTTGCTACAAAATAAATCATCACTTTATATTTTTGTTCATAATCTTAGATTGATTAAGAATAAGCTAGCTATAGGAAATTTATATAAAATAAAACCATAATTCTTAACTTTATTGACCATGCCAGCTTCACTGATTACGAGTAAAATTTATTTAGCCGAAATCGTTTTTCCATTTTGACCTGCGATTATGAAATAAACTGGAAAGAATATCGTCATGAAGTTCTTATAAAAATGTGAGCGGAAGTGAGAAAAGGTGGAATCCACTAATTTACTTTTCCACGCTACAAATTGGCTGGTATGATTTGATTATGCTTATTTGTCATATACCACTGCGTGACGAATAAACCCCACCCAACCGAAAACTAATACATAACCTTAACCCTTACCTAAAACTAATCTCAATTATACCAGCCAATCGTTGCGTAGGAGAAAATTAGTTGGATTCAGTATTTTTATGATTGGCTGCCTTAATTTTTGTTACCAAAATCATAAAACACGTGACTTTAGTTTAAAAGCAACGCGGATTTTAAAATGCAAATTGTGAACCTTTTGCAATACATTATTGTGATGAAAATGTTATCAAATTTCATAGCAAAAGCTAAAAGAATATTTAATATATATTTAACTATTTAAAAGTTGATGCACAACTTTATTTTAAAATAACTTACAAGTTAATGATATAAATATAAACACAAATTTTACTATAATAAATGGAGTGGAGTGGCATACTACCATGTAATATAATTATATTACATGGTGATATATTACTTAAGATAGATTATATAATCTTATTATCACTCTACAACTATTACAATTCTATAATCTAAATATCACTATATAATCTAATATCTATAATCTGATTACCACTCTATAATCTAATAGATATAGTTTAAATATCACTCTAAAATCTACTTTTCTTTTTATATATTATTTTCTTTATATTCTGATTATTCTTTTAAGTCTTTCTTGCTATTTATGAATAAACTGCTATTTGGTTATGAGTACCACTTTATAGTCTAATTATCATTCTCTCTTTAGTCTAACTACTGCTTTTTCTTCTTATTTATAAGTTATAATATTACTAAGTTCTTTGGTAAAAATGTTAGCCATTTGTTCCTATTTAGATATTAGGTTTTATACTAAGAGTACTGGCCTTCTATATTGATTTGATTATCAGATAGAATATTGAGGTATAGTATAAGATTATGTTTTGTATTAACTTAGTTGTTTGATGAGATATTTAAGGTGTAGATATAGAATTACCTTTTTGTGTCAATTTGATTATCTTTAAAATACTAAAAAAATAATGTTAGATAGTATCAGTTTGTAAAACTACTAGGTACTATAATTACTTTCTCTTATATCAATTTGTAAGTTTAATTTTGATATTGAAGTTATTACATATCTATTATATAATATTTTCAAATTTTCAAAAAACTCATTATCAATGCATATTTACCTATTTTTAGAAAATTATATTATATCTAATTTAGCTTTTTAGATATAGATATGTCAATTTTATATAATTTCATATGGTCAAATAAGATGCATTAATTGATTCATTTTAAATTACGCAAATATGAGTAATAGTTTTTATTTTAAAAAAAATTTAAAATTTTACAAATTATTTTCTAAGTTAGAACTTATTATAAAAGAAAGTATTTTTTTCTTGATATGTCTTAATAACTTCTTTAATAATCATAGTAATCCTAGTAAAAAAATAAAGTTTTAAAAAAAAATCAAATTTTTCTATAATATATATTAGTGTTGGTATTGGACTCATTCCAATACATTTAATTAGATGATTTAAATAATTAGACAATTAAATATAGTTCAATTATGTTTAATTGTCTAATTGTTCAATCAAATATTTATTAAAATTGAACTATATTCAATTGATCAATTGATCAATTAGACTGATAATTAGACTTAGTCTAATTAAGTATCTAATTAATTAATTTTTTTTTTTTTTTTTAGATCGGTATTTTTTTTGATTAGAAAGTATTTTTAAAAATGATTCTTTTCATTTATTAATTTTCTCATTTAAATTTTTTTAATTCTTTTACATTTAATAAAAATAAAAAATAATAATTTAATATTTTTAATCTACTAAGAACTAAGAAAAACTTATCTTATTTAAAGAGAATGAAAGATCTGTCTCTAAAAAAAAAGAAGAAAGTGAGTTAGAAAAAGAAGAAATATTTTATAAGAATTCCTTAAAAGACAAAAGACATATCTTATCTAAAGAGCATGAAAGATCTTTTCCTAAAAATTCTATCAATTGTTAACTTCAAACTTAAAAATATCATCAATTATAGCTCATAGGGTATCAGGTAATATATAAATTCTTTTTTAATAATAAAATCTTATGAAACTTATTGAACATAAAAAATTTATTAGATAAAATATGAAAGTATCTAAAGAAAGCAATTCACTATTCATAACTAGCATATAGTTTGCATAAAAGTTAAAATAAAAAGTTAAAAGAATAAAATGAAAAATAGGCTTTAAAATATTAAAAAAAAAATTGAAGAATGAAAAAAAAGCTGAGAAAAAAGTAATTTAAATCAATTTAAAGCAACTAAATATATGCTATTATAATTTATTAATTTATCTATTTACTTAAAAAAAACTTGATGTTGCTTTAAAAAGAAAACTAGCACTGAAAGAGAAAAAAAGACAAGAAAAATTAGCTGCTATTATAAGTCAAATTATTGTAAAATATTAAATGTTATAAATACTTGTTCTAACTATTTGTTTATAGTATTTGGCAAAAAAATCAAAAAGGCTTTAAAAGAAATAAGGAAAAAGAAAATAATTTATATAGAATTCGTGATTATTATGTAAAAAAAATATATATATAAAAAATTTTTTTTTGTGATTGATTTTACGTGAATATTAATTAATTAAAAAAGTTTTTTTTATTTATATTATGCTAATATAATATCCTATGTATATTATTCAATATATAAAGTAAATTAAATTATCAAACTTTTTTTATAAAGAAAAATATGAGAAATGTATATAATATAAATATATAAAATAAAATTTTATTTTTTTTTAGGAAAAAAAAGCAGATGGTTAAAAATGTACATATATTTAATGAAGATTACTCTACTAAATTAATAAAAAAAAAAATTAATTAATTTTTTATTACTTTTAAATTTCGATTTTTGATCTTTGTATTAGATATTGATATTATAAAATAATTCAATAAATTTAAATTTAAAAGAGATTAATTAAATAAAATGAAAATTTTTTATTAATTTGTGCTATTGTATCATCTTTTGCTATCTGAAATTTGAATTTTTAAAATAAAACCAATTTAGATTAGTCAATTAATACTTTAATAAAGTTTGTATCACTAAATTTTATAATGTAATCAAAATTTTTTTTTTGATTGATATTTTTTTTACTTTAGAGATTTTATTTTAGATTTTAGTATTTGTTAATATGTGAATTCTTTTTCCGCTTAAATTTAAAGATAAATATTAATAAAATCCTTTCATATTTTTTTTATATTATATAAAACTAACTTTTTAAAGTTAATTAGAAAATGTGAGAAAAATATAAGCTTAGCAGATATTTTTTGATTTTAGATGAAAAATTAAATAAGTGGAATAATTATGCTATTTGTATAGATTATATTTGAGTATTGAAACTTGAAGAAGTTCAAAAAAAAAATTTATAAATACAAAACGTACATGTGCAAAGTATTTTGAAAGTTACCTATATTTTGCTAAAAAGAAAAAATTATAAGTATCATTAATGAAGCATTGAATTGTAGGTTTAAAAATAAATAAGCGATAATATATAAATAAAAATCTGATGATAAAAAAGAAGAATCTAACAAGTTTGAAACCTCTAATCTCAATAACTTTTTATATAAATCTTTATCTACTATAATAAAAAGTAATATAAGTGAAGTTTTCAATATATCATATCAGAGGTTTAGTCTATTTGACAATTATATATATTATAAATTAAAATTAGAATAAGTTAATATGTTTAAACATTTAATATTAAATGTGATAGTAGAATGTAATTTACCATTTAGTTGGATTGAAAATTCAGCAACTAAATCTTTATTCAAGTGGATTAACCTTAGGTTTTATTTACCAAATAGAAAGCAATTAAGTGGTTATATTCTTAATAAAAGTACTAGTAAAATAATAGAGAATATTATTAAAGAAGTAGTAGATAATAAATTAGATGTAATATTGGTATTTAATAATTGGAAAAATATCTCAAAACAAAATTTATTAGACTCTCAGTACTATTTACATCATCAAGTAATATGATTATTTGGAAAGTAAAAAATATAAGTGATAAATAATATACATGAAAAATTGTTTATAATAAAACTATAAAAACTTTTGAAAAATTAAAACAATAAAATATACAAATAAATGGATTTATTACAGATTAGTATCAGAAAATGTAGCAGCAAAGTAATTATTTTATTAATTTTAAATTATTATAATATATTAATTTAAATAATTTAATTAATTTAATACTATTTTAATTAATTAAAAAATAATTGTATCTTAAGTTTCGTAATAAATTATTTTTACCTTACTTTGTATATTAAATGAATTTATATATAGGAGATATATTTAAGAAATTATTAAGTTTAAGTAATATTGTAGAAGAGACAATTAAAATAATTACATTTTTTAGTTGTTCAAAAGTTTGACTTTAGATATCTTCAAACTGAACAAATAAATACATATAAAATACAAATTTCTTTAATTTCTCCTACTATAATTTGATGGAATTCTTATTACTATTACTTTACTAGTTTATTAAAAACAAAAGATACTTTACAAGTAAGTTTAAATTAATTATTAATTTATTATTATTTATTAATTTGAAATTAAAAATTTTTTTATTTTATTAGAATTTAGCTACTAAAATTAAAGAAAAAATAATTTTAGATAGATATGATTCTTCAAACAAGTATCTTGATTGTATTTTTAATAATAATTGGTGATATCAAGTTATTAAAATAAAAG